GAAGTCAAAGATGTTTGCAACTGCTTTCAGGAGTCCCAGGGTTAAGAGCATTAGGTTTTTCATAGTATTCTTAATTTTGGTCTGGAGCACAGGCTCTTTCAGCCCCTGACATTTCAGATCAGGCTATGTAATAACCAACCTCCAGATAGTTACATTTACTCCTAAATGGTTCTGAATTTTAATAAATCTGTAGGTGTGAGAGGACATAAAGCTCTTGTCCTTGGCTAAACCCTTAACTGTGTGTTTGAGATTTCTACTAGTTTAAGATAGGATTTATCAGTATTACTGTTTCTTTCAGTCACGCACTGAATCCCAGCACAGAAGCTTCTGTATGATTCACTGGCACTGAAGTAATGGCACTTACAGATAAACAATGAGAACAGGGGAAGATGTGATGTAAAAAAAACCCCCAAAATGTAATATTTTATGTAGCATAGGCTCACATTTTCACATGCATCTAGGTAAATAGGAAGTCCACGGTTATTTTCTTGTGAGCTTTAGGTGCTTAGAGCCCTGAAGCCTGAACTGTGCTGAAGTCAATTTTAAAAATGGAAATTCAGACACCTATGTTAATGAAAAGAACAGATGCCTTATAAAGTCGTTTAGGCTTCTGACTTCACATGTTTTCAAAGAGATTTGTGAAGCCAAACAATTTGGGTATCTGCGCTTCGTATTTAGCCACAAGAATGTTGTAATCATGAAGAAACCTTTTCAGGTCTTGCTCCTCAGTGTTGGTTTTATGTTCATAAAATGACATTTATTTTTGCAGAAAATGAGAGAGATTAAGATAGAAATTGCCCAAGATGCTTTGAAGAGACTCTACAAACTATGCATTTACTGGAAGCAGAAGGCAGAAGCAGGGGCTCCTAAGAAGCATGATTTCAGCTTTCAGGGAATGTAAGGCCAATACTCTACCGTATCTTTGGGGATAAGAATAGAAGTGACTAAGGGCAGGTCCATTCAGTTATGGTATTCCTAGTATAAGCGGAAGATAATGAGTGTGAGACATTAAATTTACCCATAGCATCCTTGCATTGATTCAGCTTCTAAAAAGTCGTTTCATCTTTTAAAATACAGAGCCAATTGTAATATTCCAGTACTAAAATGACAGATGTAATTCTTCTAGTTATATTAACTTTATTTAGCTATTCTTAATTTTATATAACTTTAATTTCTTTTAAAATAAAGATGTTATACTTTTCAAATACAATATTCCTTGACATGGCCAGTTCATTTTTTTTTTTTTCATTTTAGAACATCATATTTATACCATTTGCTTACTGACCTCTCGCATCAGCTTTTACAGCAGCTTTCAAGAAGGTAACTGATTTCATGGTTCAGAGCAATGCTGATCCTTCAGAACAAAGGTTTGAAGCCAGAGATAGTTGGAAAAATGCAGACAGTGTAAAAATATAAATATATATATCCCTCCCACAAAAATACCATCTCTTCGGGTCAGAACAGAATAGTCATTCTTTAACACTTTGTATAGAATTTAAGAAAATATCCCTGAACCTATTTGTTTTGCCAAGTTCATACCCAGCCATTTCCATGCAGGCTGATTTCACACTGTTATTCCAGTGAGTGACTGTGTCTTCAATGAAATTATCTGTTTCCTTGTGCTTTAGGCTTCCTCTTGACCCTGGATTGTTACTGTAATTTGAAATATGATGACACATTTTTCTTTTATAGTGCTCTCCATATTGGATGTATTGACAAGCACGTGTAAAGTGTCTTCTGTGTGCTAGATCCTTTGTCAGCTGCTGTGGACATACCCTTGACTGGAAACTCCCTTTGCCCAATCAGATTGCTGTGCCAGTATTTTCCTTGATACATATATAATAAAACTGTTGTGCTGACATCCCAGGTATGTTGATTTGTTACTGACCAAGAGAGGGGTGGAACAGCAAGGCACAGAAAATCCACTATACATTCTAACATTTAGGCTTTATCCTTTATTAGGTAGTGAGTAAGAGACATAAAAAGAACTGAGTTTGTTGTTTACAGCTGAAATTTAAAAGAGACTTGTGTGAACAAAAACTTGTTCCATAGAGCACTGTGACAAAAGAGGTCCAAGAAAACTGAAGGTGTCATTGCAAATGAGCTGATGTAAGTAGTTGGAATGACACTCTCTCTATTCCTAGCAAAACTTGTTATTAACTCTGCCTTTAGTACTGTGCCTCCATACATGCCACAGGCCACATTTTGGCAAGGATCAGCCTGTTGATTTTGATGGCATCACAACAACATGGCAAGGATGTACAGCAGGTGTCCATGCACCAGAAGGCCGTGCATAAGAGCCTACAGGGTATTTGTGGGTCTCCCCTTTTCCCATCTGCGTGTTTTTTCATGGGGAAAAGATTGTCTGCCCAGACCTTCTCCCTTCCGAAAACGCCAGTCCTCCTCTGCTCGCTTAGCAAGCTCTTACTTACACAGGCTATTACTCAAGACAAATGGTGGTTCATGGAGCACAGCTTGAAAACTGGTGCCCTGTTCAAGGAGGAATCTGAACACAGCTGGCAATGGCACTACAACTTATGCAAAAAGATGGAAGGTTGAAAGCAGGCTTAAAAGACGAAGGCCAAGGTTTTGCAAAGAGGAGTTGAACCTTACTATGCTATATTTATGTACCCAAATAAAAGGAAACATTTTCTAAATTGAGTGTTAGGCGCAGGTTTTGAAGGCTAGCCTGTTTACTGCCTCTTTACTGGGAGCTGTAGAGTAGGGAGCCCTTTTAAATGTCAGCCCCTAGTTATTTAGGTGCCTAAACTTGGCTTCAGAAACTTACTCATACTCTTCCTGTTTTGAAAATTGGGCCAAAACAATCCAGCTAGTAACCAGACCTGAAATCACCATTTCATCTCTTCCATGGCTACATAGGTGTGAATTAAATATAACCAAAAGCCCATTTCATTTCAAGGCACAAACGTTTGCAAATAAACTGGATGAAATACAAATACATAATATAGAACTTATTTTAATACTTGTAGATAAATAAATGCATCTCTTTGGAATTCTTTGGACACAGACATCCATGGAACCTCTTCTTTCTCTCTTTTTATATATATTTTTTATAAAATCTAAATGCAGAGAGATTTAAAAAATGGCAAATACCAATGTATATGGAAGGCTCACTGATGAACTGCAAGTCAAAAGTGCTGTATATTCCCATCGTCTATATCTCCCAACTGTCCATATTAACCACAGGCAGTATTATATAGCAACCACATGGTCAATATTTTACATTACTACCTTGTAATAAAATCTTTCAAATCATTTCCCCATCTAAACTTAAATTATGTTTTTAAATTTTATTCCTCCTAAATGTATGGTAGGCATTTCACTTAGCTACACATCAGAGTGGTCGCATGTGACTCAGCAGCGCACTCCATAATATTAATAGATACTTTTCAGCTCCCTATGGGAAAAAGCAGGCAGCAAGAATCAGATTCAAGAAGTCTATTTTTTTCTCTGCTGTTTGTTACTTACCACTTAATGACCCACATGTGAAACTCAATGGTTATATAATTATTTTATATAGTAGATTTTCTGTTTATAATTTATTTTTCTTACTCTAACATATATACAATATATCTATATATACCCCTGATAAATCTTACTTTAAAGGGACACAGTCAACCCCTGGAAGCCTCACAGTAAATATATAAGGCTTTAAGCTGCCCATACATAAAGGTCAGCTACAGAATTCAAGGGTCCCTTCAGATCCTAAAGGTTGTATTTGTTCCAAACCCATGATGTGCAGTTATCTTGTAATACGTATCTCATGTGTTGCTGTTTACATTTTATAGGTATATTAAGACATTTTATATCACATCAGTAGGAAATAAAACAAGAGAATAAATCTGTTTCTAAGACTAAGCCTATTGCAAAAAATGTTACCTGTATCTACAGACACTCCCACTGGTGTGATATAAAAAGAATATGTGCCATTCTTGGGATGAAATTCTGGCTACACTGCAGTCAGGAGGAACTTTATACTGACTTAAATGGGGCCAGGATTTCTCTCCTGCTTTTCATTTGCTAGTTATGACTATGCGTAACCCATTTGTGTCTTCTCTCTGCTCAACACTAACGTGTCAGGCCTGTTTCATGACGAGACTGTATTTTTTGCTGTCCACTGGCATGCCTTACACATTGATCTATCCTGTATGTATTACACCTTTTGAATATACACACACTGTACACATACGTTCTCAGTTAACTGAAAGTTTGACCTCTTCTGTGTACAGCATCTGGATTTTTTTCTCCCGCTAAATTTTCTTTACCATTTACTTTGTCCTAAACATAGATTATCTTCACGCCCATTCTTCAATGGGTGAGGAAAACAATTTTTGCTCACCAGGAACAGCTCCACATTATTGTCATCATTTTTGACTACTTACCGAAGTGACATAATTTGTTCATTTTATCTTTTGCAACTCAGTTAGAAACCTAGTGGCATAGATAGAGACACAATACTACTGTTTTACAAGACATCTATTGTATCTACTTTTGTTCAGATAAATACCCAGTAACTGCTGATTTGGCAGGAGGATTGGTAAGGGTACTACTATTCACAGTGTTTCTTTTTTTTCCTTCTTCTTTAATCTACAGAATAAAGTATTTTATGTACATTGGAACCAGTTAATGCCCTTTAGACAAATTTGTAAGTTGTTTCATAAAGCAGGAAAGACATTGCAGGGAAATATGTGCCAAAAAGCACAGTCAAAAGGCTTCATAAGTTTTATATGTCACTACAAGTCAATGCTGGAGATCAGTTCTAAAACGATCAATACTCAAGAGGAATGTTCTCATCTGGAGAAAATACTGCCCATTCCTCCTTTTAGAATTTGTTCAGTTCTCTATCAAAAGTCCTGGCTCTTCTTATATGCTTTAAACTATAAATAAACACTGCATAGTTCAATGTTCTTGATTTTCTTTTTTGTTTGTTTGTTTTGATTTGAAAAATTATTGCAGTACAATTAATTCCTGTTTGGAGTTCAGTAAGGAGCAAACAGCACGGGAGTATGGGTGGTCCGTATAGGCCCTGGAGCTGGTCGTAGGAGTGCTGGAGGAAGTGCTGAAGTCTGGAAAAGGGTGGCTGCTGGGGCTGTGCGAAGACTGAAGGGGGAATTCACAGCCACAGCAGCAGCTGAGGGGGAATTCCACAGCCCAGCGGGCAGCTGCTGCTGCAGCTGCTAGCGGATTTGGTAAGATTCGTGGAGCCATCGGCTTTGAAGGTTCCTTTGAAAATACTAATTTTACCTGTGGGGAACAGAGAAAACAAACAAACAGAGAGACATAATTTGTTCATATTAGCTACACGACAGGGAGCTTGACTTAAGATTATAAGTGCAAAATCAAGTAAGAGAGGCCTTGTAGTGGCTACTGACTCTGTGAGCTGCAGGGTCGTGACAGGTGATACAATCTCGTGCACTGGACAAGGGTGAGCAAGATTTGGTCAGGGACAAAGACCTTCATTGTCCTCTTGGTTGTGGGCTCACTCCTTATCACTGAGACTTATAATTTAATATGAGATTAGAAATCAAAGCAAATCTAAAAAGGGGCTGGGCAATCTGCACCAAAGTAAAGTTGGATGTACCCTGCAGAAATTAAATAAGGAAGAATTAGCCATCAGTCAAAAGACCTCCATCTGTACACCTTTATGATAAAGACCAGAACAGAATGAAAACATATCCTATTTCCTGGTCTGACTAAGACGGTACTTTTGTTTTTACCATTAGGATGCAAGTTCTACTTAAAATTAAGATCTCCAGCTAGCTCCTCTTCATTAGCTCCTGCCTCTAGTAACAAACAAAAAATTTTGAAAACTCTTCATTTAGAGTTTCCAAAAAGACAAAAAATAAGCTCAAGCTTTTCCCAGCCTGATTGAAAATATTCACATTATTATTTAAGAGAATTTACATTTGGTAGGCATACAAAAAAACAGCAAAGTAGTCTATATAGATTTCTGAAGATTTCAGTGTGATTTCAAGTTTCTAATGAGAAGCCAGGAGCCTGAATGCCTTTGTTTTATAACTCTGCGATAAGAATAGAAACCTTATCCACTGTCAAAGAAAAGTTCCCATTGGCTCTGATTGACTTTCCATGGGTCCGTGTCCTGGCATGACCTGAGGCCCTTTGCAGAGAACATAAACCTGAATATGTGGTATTGAATATACGGAATATGAATATATGTACCATGCTGTGGTATATCTCGGTGTAAGTATGGACACTTCTCACTCGCAAGTAAACACAATTTCTCATCCTTGAATTGAAAGAGGCTTTCAAACAATTAACTTGTACTATATCAGTCTGATACTTCCCACTCAACAGTACCTTGGTGAGTGAATGGTCAGAAAGTAAGGGCAGGAGTAGTCTGGCATGAATGACCAGCAAGTTTAATCATCACACTATCACCATATTCCAAAAAATCTGTTGGTTCTTTACCAGCCAGATGGATACAGGATTTTGACTTTTCCTAATACCCATTGGCAGCTCTGCTGGCCTCAAGGTCCTTTAAAGCTCTGGGAGTGATACTCAGAGGAGACCAGATTCTGTAATTCTCTTAATGGAGAACATAACGGATGGTAGATACAAAATTCCTCACAGTGTCTATGAAAAGCAATGATCTGATCTTTTCCTTGATCAGTGCAACACCCACTGATCCAAGCTGTCTTATTCCCTTGCTGAGCGTTTGACTTTTTCCTCCTTCCTTACATTTTTTAGTAAATACTTTTTTACAGCCTTGTCTAGAACAGACAAGAAAAACCCCTCTCTCTCAAAAAAAAATCCTGAGTACAAAGTACAAAAAATCCCTAGCCCAAAACTACAGGGCTCCAATTGTGGTCTAGAATTCCACGTAAAGGATGTTTTCCATATGAGCTATTTTATTGCAGAAAGTTTGGACTATCAAATGCCTGATAACCTCTTTCTCTGCAGTGTAGTATTTTATACATGCTGGGCATTCATGGCTTGAAGAAATATCAAGTAAGTCTCAACATTACAAGATTTCCTAAACTCTGAAATAATACTGTGGGAATCCATAAAGCTTCTTTCTCTGAAGCATGCAAAACTAGACTAGACAAAACAGTACAAATGATATTGAAAACGTGGCATTGGAAAGTTTTTGGTCTAGAAAAGCTACGAAAATGTAGTATGTCCTTGTTCTAACTTCTGTAGAAAAAAAATTTGGTGATGCTCATATATTTTTTGTCATGAAGAACAAAGATCTTATGTGACTTTATATTAACTGTGATTCTGTGATCTTGCCATTCTTGGAGGAATCAGGAACTTCTAATGAAGTTAGATAGCTTTTCAGTTGATTTATCAACATGGTTCTGATTTCAAGATAGCTGCAAAACCAGTACTATTTAGTATATACAGTATGTTGCACCTTCATTTCAAACCTCTCTGCAAGTACTAATTAACACACAGGTCAACACTAAGAGTAAAGTAGCCATTATTCGTTTCCTTTCCAACAAAGTAAACTCAGGGACAATAAATGGCTTGAAAAATTAATGGAGAGTAAAGAAAAAGTCTACAGCTCATCAAAAACATTTACATTCAAAGTAAAATTCGCACATCTTTGGCTTGTTGCTATTCCATTCGGCATTTCAAGTGACAGCAATTTTAGTATTTTTTTCTATTCAAAACCAAAAAGACTAAATGGAAAGCTGCTCTTACCCCTTCTCAGTGTACCTCTGTTTGACGCCTTCTTAAATCCCCTTTGCCTCTTTACTCACCTCTGGTCTGACTTGTATATTGTGAGCAATTGGGAGTGAGGGAGCAGGAAAAGGACACGTTACCTTTATTTGTCTATGCAGCAACTAAATGGCCTTGATCCTTGGCTGGAGTTCTCAGAAACCACCATTACATAAATTGGCAAATACAGAACTGTGCACAACAGCAACAGTAATGTAATAGTTATTTTCATCCCCTGGGAAACAATGAATTTCCTAAAGGAATAATAATCCTGTCAGAGAGGCTTTAGTGATTCCATATCCTACTTACCTAATTACATATTTTCTATTACTTTCAGTGTAGTTTATATGTGTTGGAGACCTTTGTCTTCCTGGTGGATTACTGGAAAACCCTATGGGGCTATTTCCCTACTAGTGCATCTAGCAGGATGGTGTATTGCACTATGCTACACCATCTAGGAAAGCTCCTACCCAACTGAATTGTTCATGAATATACCTATCATGAGGGCTGCCCCAACAAGGACACACTTTCTGTTGTCAAGAAAAGAGCTTTAACTCAATTTAGAGAGAACTGGGTTTTCACAGAAAAAAGATCCATATTCTGCTTGCATTAGAGAAGATGGTCAAGGAATAAGGGGCTAATCTCTATAAGGCAAATGAATCAACATCTTCCCCCTGCCTAAACCATCTATAAACCCTTAGAAAACACCATGGCACATAAAACAATCACTCAGTTTTTCTGATGGAGATAAATGTCAGATTTTTCACTATCCCACCCACAATATAAGCTGTTTCTTAACTAATGGCAGAATCGTAGCAGGGTTTTTCATTAAAAAGTAAACCTTTTTCTCAGCTTTTGAAGCTAGTAAGAACTGTGTTTCAGACAGTTTATCCTTCCTGGCAGTTGAAAATGTGACCAGAACCATCCTGAAACTGAGTGGAATGAAATGAGAGATGAATTTCCTTAATTGGTTCAATTGTTATCTGAATAATTTTCTAAATAAGGATAGAATAAAGGTTTTATATTTTATTCAGTCATTTCATCACTATTGTCCTTGGTGAAAACTGGAAAAATCCTGTCTGACATCTGGATGTTTCTTTTGTCTGTTGCTCTCTAATGACCTTTGAAACAAGCTTCTTTTCTGAGGTTATTCAGAGTAGCTACAAAAAAACAAGGACCCATGGGTTGTAGTCCACACCCATCAAAGCATAAAAAAAGTCCCTTGTGGGCTTCCATGGGCTCATTCAGACACTTGTATACCCCTATTGCTTACACCATTCCTCTCATTTTAAACATTTTTCCACTTACATTTTCTAAAAAACCCTATTCAACAGGGTTAAAATAAAAGTAAAATAAAAAGATGATTGGCTTACCCCTAGAGGATGTGTTCCCTTTTGGAGTTTGTTGTAAGGGCTGTATTTAGGTTTAGGCGGCTTCCCAGCAGCTCTGTCTTTGTGCCTTCTACTGCTTATGTGCTGTGAAAACATATTTGGGGGGAGGGGAGGAAAGAAGAGTGATATTTCCTTAACAGATCATTTCAGGTTCTGCTTTACACAAGGGTGCTCCAATACTGAAGGCTACTGCTCTCCACAACAGCATTACTTTGACTAATTCAATAACAAATGGGAATAGGGTCTGTTCCAATTTGAACGATTCTTTGTGCATCACATTTGGGACTGTGATTTTCCACAGTGCTCAGTTCAACTCTGCTTCCACTGTGGTCAATGATTTTCTCACTTTTGTTAACTTCAACAGGACCTGAATCAGGTCAAAGATAGAAGCCTTTGAAAAATTCCCCCTATCTCTATAAAGCACCCATCAAATTCAATCCACTGCTGATAGAAAGTTTTGGAAGAATGTTGGAAAGTAGAGCATCCCCTGTTTGGGGAGGTTGTGACGGGGGGAAGGTCACAATATTGTTTAAATCCCTAAGGAGCCTAGACATCCATTTAAGATTTCAGCTGAAAGATGGTTACATATCAAACTAAGTGACAGTGAAAAAACCCCACAAAATCCATTATTTTCTTCATAAAATCTATGAGATTTTACAAGAATCCTTCTACACAGACTTTATTGCAGTATTAGATGTAAGGGACCTTTTTCAGAACTATATTTTTACTTTGATTTTCATTTTCAAGAGAGTTCTCGCAAAAAAAGACAAAGAATTGGACATTTTTTTTTTCCCTGAAAACAGAAGACAAGTATTGCTATTGTCCATTACAGAATTTATCTTCATTCTTGTAAAGTTCCTTAACAAGTATTTAATTCCAAAAGGCATATGGAATTAAACTAAGTGTTTTCAGAACAAAGGCTTTGTTCATCTGAAGAATGACTGAACATAACTTAGTGTAATTGCAATTTAGAGGTCATGCTTCTCAGTTACAGATTAACACTGATAAAAAAATATTACAAATCCTCTCCATCCCACATTTCTAAGCAGGTTATCCAGTATTTTGTGAAAATACTGGCTGCACCCACCTCACATCTTTGTCAAGGCAAATAACATGCAGTACACTAAATGGCAGGGTTTATTAGCTCATGACAATCATAGTAGTCTAAAGACAGATGTAACGTTGCAGCTTACAGCTTCTATAACTCTTTAAGACATATATATAATCAAGAGTTTTTGAGAAAATATATTCTGTGCAAGGGAAAATCATATCCAAAACAAAACATACAGCATGAAAGACAAGTACAAAGGGCAAAATCTGTAAGCTCCATTTGGATTTGAACTGTTAGACTGACATATGCAGATTGTGTTGGTACTTTATCACTATGAAAACAAAGAACAGCCAAGGATTCACACTCTGCAAGCTAGCTGAGTACCTGTTTCAGTTGGGTCTCAGAGTTTACGTGCACATCACATATTTCACAGTGAAATGTTTTGTTCTGAAGGCCTGTGTTTCCTTTATTCACAGGTCCTTTGCCTTTTACGCCTGCCCGGGGAAAGGCTTTTATGGTTCCACTTCCATTCCGAGCTTCCAGCATAGTTTTGTGCTTAGTCCCTAGAGACATTAGAAATGGGAAACAGAAACAACTTTGGCAATTTGGTTGCATTCATTGTTTTCTTTTCTTTTTAAAAGAAAATCATATGAACCTCAGCTTGGTGCCACGTGCTATCCTTGGAATATGCCTGTGTTTGTCTGTATCAGATTCATACCAATGTAACAGTATTTCACATCTGATATTTAATTATTAAATTACATATCTGTAGGTAATGCGCTAGAACAAAGCAACCACACCAGTAAGTAGTGGCACAATCAGGTATCCTGATGTGAAGTTAAATGGGTGTGACTTTTCTCATTAACTCCTGCTGCTAATAAGACCTGAATTGTAGTTGCAAAGGAAGAGTAATTTAGCTATTAAAGATGTAGTGGGCTTTGATTTGTAGTCCTCCTGAATGGATTGACAAACAGTATGCATTAGGTAGCTTACACTTAAATCTGTAATTAACTAATTAGTCTCCAAATCAAAAAGGGACAGAGATTCCTGGCAGCAACCTATGGATCCTTAATGGCCTGGACAGAAACCAAAATGTGTGAGAAACATACATGTGAGAAAAATGCACTTGCATTTTTTATTAAAACAAAGATTGGATAGAAAACAATAGTGTCCTGTTCCTTTACCTTTATTCAGACTGAACAATTTCTTACATTGTTGACTTCCACGCAGGTAGTCTGTGATGATAATGGACTACTACCGTGTACAGAATTAGTGTTCCACTGATAATTGTTGTATGCATCCACGTGTACACTTTTACAAGCATGCATGTGTGTGAGCACACACACAGTTTATCAGCACAGACAGCAAAAACTTGGAGGGTAGAGTTGAATAATGTTTTGGCTCTCATCTTGATCAGAAAAATATTTAGAGTCTAACTGTCATATGCAGTTAAATAGGTTAAACGGGTACAGCTTTATGAACTTGAATTTTCACTAGTTGAAGATCTGGCATAAAACAAACATAGCATTCAAAACTAATTAGGCTTTGTTTCTCATGAATAGCAACAAATTATCATTTCCTTTTTAATTTAAGTGTATTTTATAGACATGCCAAAGTTACTTCTTTTTTTATTACATCATAAAACCATTGATCATCTTGCTGCATCACTGTCTCTATCTTTCAAACTGAAGGTTCTCTGCCTGCCTCCTAACTCTGTTTACTCTGCTGGCAGGTAACCCCTGACATCCAAAATCAGGAGTTTTCCTGCCGGACTGTTATAGGTGGTCATTGCCACCATATTAAATCTGAAGATCTTTTAACCCTGCTCACCACAAAGCCAATCAATAAGATGCTTAAAATAGTGACTGTGAATGATGGCTCTTTAGTACTGGAACTTATGGATGCGACTAGCTCTAGTAAAAAGAAAAGGCTTAAAAATGAAGAAGGATGGAGGTAAGGAATTACCCATTCAACTCTCATGCAGCAGTTGCTATCAGTTGATGAAAACAAAGGAAAAATATACATAATTTTAACAAGTTATTAACAGACAATATGGAGCTAAGAATTCTAACTCTCATAATTGAACTCTGACTCTTTCAGCCTTAATTTGTTAGATTTCAAACAAAACTAATGGCATTCATACTCAGTTTGCTAGCTGGCACAAACAAAAGTATGCAAACTCTGAACAGCAAAGGTAATGAAGCATGAGCTGTCATTTAGCTCTATAAGGTTTGGAAGCTGCAAAAGCTAAAATGTAAGAAAATGGGTAACTTGCATGCAATAAAATTCCTTTCTTCCCTCTTTATGAAAGCCTCTTTGCCTGTCATTTTTATTCTTTAATAGTTAATGAATTCCATGTAATTGCCAGTTTTGTGCCACCTCTTTGTCCCCTGCTGCAAGAGATCTAATCTATTCAGGGGAAGAAAATTGCAGAGCTCTTGAGACAGAAGGAAAAAAAGGAAGCAAGCAAGCACTGCTCCATCTCACCACTGTTGTGCGCCTCCAGCTGTGAGGCAGAGTTGACAGCGACTTTGCATAGTGAACAGTACAGCAGTCTTTTTGCTTTTTCTTCCTCAGTCTCAACGGAAGGGCATGTGGTACTGCTAGTGGCTGTCGTGGGGATTTTCTCCACTTTAGAGGTGATCTCAGTTGTCATAACGCTGCTCTTCCGGATTTCCACGGTTGTCGTTGTTGATATTGCTGGTGTCCCTGTGGTAACGTCTGTGGGCAAAGAGAAGAGATGCAAGGAAACAAAAAAAAAGGTTGTGACCTTTGGCATTTGCTTGTTTGCATCCTAATGCTGTAACCACACAGAGAGCCAGATTGTGTTGGTGATGGTTTGACTGACGGTAATGAACTAAATCTGACCTTATTCTTTGTATTTTGTGTGGTTACAAAATACAGTACTCCCATGTATCAAAATGCCACGTATTCTGTCTCCTGCATTCTGCTAACACCCAGTAAATACAGAATTCATAAACTGAAAAGACAGGTCATTACGACTGTACTGTACAACTGAAAGATAATCCACTAAAAGAGGTCATGTAAATTACCTGTACAATAGGCAGTTAAAATTTATATGCAGCACTTCAGATGCATAAACTGCCCTAGTACTGCATAATACTTACACTGATTGAGTAGCCAAGTTAAATTTTTAACATCCTGTACTAATAAAACTAAAATGAAAATAATTGTATGTTCTTGATATCTGATAAAATAAAACAAATTGATATTTCACTTGATATTAGCCAAAACTAACATTAAATGAATGAAGGCAATTATTAATACACAGTATACTTTTATCCATGCATTATTATTATCCATTATTGCATACTAACAACACATACTAATAATAGTAATTAAATATGCAACATTCAATATCTGAGACCTACACAAACTCTAGTAAGATTCCTGTTCTGTGTTATCAGTGGTATGTTTGGAAAAACTGGAAGCATGTTATATAGCTAAATCTATTTGGAAACCTAGTGCTTGCATGTAACAACTTGTGCTTTTTCTGTAGTTTTCAAATCCAAGAGAGACAAAATACACAATGATATTGTGGTTTGAATAATATATACATGACATTTGGATATGGCAGTGCCATTTGGTAGTTACATACTTAGCAGGGTAGAGGACAGTAAGATCCAGCTCTGAGCCAGTGGAGAAGATGGCAAGTAAGGGACAGGAGAAGGAGAGAAGGGACAGGAGCTGTTCTGCCTTTGCAGTGTTGTATTTTGTCATATTAAGTCTACTGAGTAGCAGCTTCCCCTGTAAGAAATCTTAGTTACTTTACTGAGATACTCCTGGAATTGGGTACTTTCCAACATAGGCAGCTCACTTCGGTTTCATACATCCCTTGGTGTTAGTGGTGCTCTACCTATACTATGCTTTATCCATTGCCATATAGAAGAACAGGCAAAATAACAATCCTTTGGCTTACAGATCTCAGTATACGCTGTGATGCAGGATGGACACAACTACCTGATGTTCCAGAGGTGTGTTTCAGACTAACACTCTTCAATAACTTCATTAATGACAAACACGTCAATTAACTTAAAAGACAATACCAAACAGGGAGCAAGAGCAAACACACTGGGAGACATGATTCAAAACAATTTTAATGCATTGGAGAAACAGTCTAGAAAATTAGATGCTTTTCAGTAAAGGCAATTGCAGGAATCCACACTCAGTAGGATTAATCTGGTCTATTAAAACAGGATGAAGAACAGCCCCAGTATTGCTTTTGTGTTTTTTGTTTCTTTGATTGATTGATTTTGGGTTCTTTGGTTTGTTTTTTCAGAAAAAGCTTTCAGTAGCAGATAACAAGATGAACACAGATCTCTTACATCATCGTGTTATGAAAAAGGTCCCCACCATATTGAAAGTGCAAAGTGAAATATTTATGAGGTATTTTTTTCTCCTCTAATCAGCACTGGAGGCCCTGTGTCCAGCCTGGGGACTGCAACGTCAAAAATGAACAATTACTTGCTTTGTTGTTAATTCAGCAGCAATACAAATGCAAACCAACAAGGGAAGGGTTGCGAGGGAGGAAGCCAAAACAAAGCAGAGGTTTAGAAAATATGGACTGTGAATACAGAAGATGAAGGGTAAACACTGACAACATTTTTCATATCTGTAGAAGGCAGCTAAAAATAAGAGAATAAATTCTTCTCCTTGATCCCTTCCAATAGAACAAGGACTATTGGAACAAAGCAAGAGAAGCTTAGATTAGACATCAGGAAATTCTTTCTAATATTAAAGCTTGTAAAACCTGAGAATAGTCTTCCTCCGGAGATCCGGAAATATTGCCTACTGGAGGACTTGGAACTGGCTGAACAAATACCTGCTGTAGCAACCCAGGTATGATCCCCTTTCAGTCAGTGGGAATAGGACCACTCAAGCCCTATTTCTATACATTGTGTATTTTGAAATGTTTCTACGTATTCTCCCAGAGGGCTTTTAAAAATAATTATTTGTAGAACCCAGAAAGCAGAGTCTGTCATGTGAATATTCTATGTATTGCCAGGCATTAGAGCATATAGCAAAAATAAGGTCCCACTCAAGGTCTAATCAAAGTAGGGTTTTTTTTCCTGAAAGTGAGTCTGGAAGTGGTTATATCCTGAAGGTACTGGGGATGTCCAATACTGGTGCAGAAGGAATGGTGTTACCTTGCTGAACATTCTGTTCTTGTTTATTATATTTTACAGACCAACAATAATGTTTCAAAAGAAAAATACTATTTTGAAATATTAAGCCTTTTGTTGGGAAACTGATGAGTAAATGAAGCCTTTGTAGATCTGTTCACAAAATTATACATTTAACTAGTCGCTCCTCTCCCATCCCAGAGAATCCGTGTCAATGTTGGCTTTCCTTCAGTTGAAACTTGCTGCAGTGAAATTATTTTCCTCAAAAGCCCACTCCCAGCAGTACAAAACACTGCTTTTAAAACTTCAGTTTCTCCATCCTGGTACTACTGTACAGTAGTAGGTCTAGCCAATGTACTTTCCCAGTGAAAAGGAAGGCAGGGGGCAGATGGCACCAGTGAGAGGGAAGGAAAAGAAAAAGAAGACATTAACATTCTCTCAGGATTGATGGCAAGGTTGGTGCTCACTCTAATCTTGCAGCAAATTAGATATGTACATCAATCACCATTACCAGCTTTGCAGTGCAAGGGTCAGTATTTTGCCGTAAGCAAATTATAGATCATAATTTCTTTATTTTCCATAGGAAAACCTGAGGCAATGAACAAACAAACAAAAAAACCCTTAAATAACTGCAGATTTTATTCTGCTTCAAACATCTGATCTCCTATATCTATGCTAATCTAATATTTCACTATGTAATTATTTTAAAGTGAAAAGAAAATACAATCAATTATATTAGTCTTTTTGAGGGTATTTTGATATACATGTCTGAAAGCAGCACTGTATATAAAAATTAAACTAAAAATGGTAAATGTCATCAGCATATTCTTCAGCCAAAAGAAAAAAGAAAGGTTGGTGCGTATATTCTGCACTTTCAAAAGGTGCCCTATATTAATACAGCATATATTCCACCAATGTAAATGCATTACTGACATCAAAACATATACAAGAAAACACCATCCAAATTCACCATGTAAAAGCCATGACACATTTAAAGATACAGAGCTGCTCATCCTCATATAAACTTTAGAATTATCTGCAGGAATTAAGGAGAAAACATTCTAAAAGCTGTCAAGTAAGCTTACAAAGAGGAAATTCAAATCCTCTTCTCACCAGAACTTCTAACCTAACCAGCACGTGTGTCTCTGAATATATTACAGTGCTGCTGCCTGTACATAGTTCAGTGCCCTAAATACAGGGTACAGCACTAAAGGTGTAAGGGATGAAAAAACCAAACCAAAACACCAAAAAGGAGTAGGAAGGCATTTGAATTGATGCCTTGAAGACCGAATCAGCATTTCTTAACATTATATTATGACAGTGCTTTAAGAACTATTTTAATAATAAATGATCTAAAATCGAGCTGGAAATTCAGTCACAGTCAAGTGGAAGATTTGTTTCTGGTGACGCAGGCTTGCAGCACTGTGCTATTTTCATACCAGTGGCCTGCAGCAAATATTCATTATTGCAACTGTCACCGCTTGGCTTTGGCATAGAAGCTGATTGCTAATATTGTATGGAACTGGACTCCAGCAGCAAAAAAAGGGAACACTTCAGGATTCACAACAATCTGTTTGTGTTCCTGGTCTTAATATAGCAACAGAATAAAAATTAAAAATACAAAAAAATGACATTAAAATCTGGTCACTGGCAAAATCACAGATTTATTTTAACAAGAAGAAAAAGCCAGATGAAAAACATTGTGTAAGAATTGACTCCTTTGGGTACTACAGATACTATAGTTCAAGTGGAAAACTGCAAGGGTGTGACTAAGGTCCTCCTAAGTAAGCAGGATTAATTTTATATCCCAGCTACAAGACTCATGAATTTTCTTTAGGCTGAAGAAACAGAAAATTACAACTCATGTTTTTCTTCTGAGTATGTGAAAGTCTCACTCATCAGTTCCTGATACTGAGCATAAGAATTTCTTATCCTGAAACTATAAATAGACCCACAGAGAGAATAGTGCTCTGACTTCAAACAAATCACAACTATTTATGAGCGTGTTTTTTCTTCCGCAATCTCAAGTGGCATGCATTTAAAACCATCCGATTTAGCACATGCCCATGCATTCTGGTCTCATTTAAATCAAACTTTGCCTTTGACATAAAAGGATTGAGCATTTGACCCATAATGTTGTCCAGGACTCCCCCCTGCCCCCCGCAGCATCTAGAAAGCACATTCTTTCTCATGACAAACAGAAGTTGATATGACATATTTCACTATACTATAAGACCTCTTAGTATTGCAAAAACTTTGTCAGCTGGCTCGCTTATAGCAAACCCACATCAAGTAACAGAATTCTCCTGTACGGGTGCTTGATATTAGCATGTTCAAAACAGTCTCAGCATATTATTTTCCTGCCTACTAAGAACTGGGTCCTCAGTTTCCTTGGGCTGCTGTGAAAATCTCATGCTCCGTGTCCTCTGTGGTAATTACATTTGAAGATAAGACGTAAATTCTTTTGAATCTATAAATATAACAGTGGAGTATATAAAAACCAAAGTACCATCCCAAAAATAACTGCAACTGACTTTTTTTTTGTGCTTGGCTGACTTTCCGTACTCATATGCTAAA